TCCATTCTTAGGCCCAGAATGGACTGAAGTTGGCACCTTATCCTCCCCTTGCCCAGATGTTACCTGGTCACCACCTGAGCTTCTGGTCTCCCATCTGTAGGTGCTGATACACAGTAGAGTTAGGAGCTGCTGTCCTCTCCCAATGAATAGACGCCAACCTCAGAATTATTGTCATAACACATCCCAACATCTACACTATAAAAGACAAACATGCAAATTGACCGTACCTTCGCTATGCCTTAAGCCACGCCCACCAACCAATCAGAGCGACCATATGCAAATTAACCCAACCAAGATGGTGGCCGGCAGCCACGGAGCTGGAGCAAGCAGGAGGCTTCCCTCCAGCCTGCCCTGGCTGGCTCTGAGGTCCTCTCAAAGCAACAAAGTTTCAATTATAGAAGGGAAATAAATCCCAGAATAAAAGAAAAAAGGAAAATCAGAGGCTGGGAGCTTCCGTGGCTGTGTGAGCTTGTCCAGCTTGAAAATGGCCCTCAGCCCCTCACCCAGACTGGCCAGGCACCACAGTAGGGATCTCCCACCCCAAAGGGGGTTTGGCCAGCCTGAAAACAGCCATCAGCCCCTCACCCAGGATTGCCAAGCCTCCATGGGGTGAGGGTCCCCACTGGGGGGGGTTTGATCAGCCTGCAAACAGCCATCAGCCCCTCACCCAGGCTGGCCAGGCACCCCAGTGGGGACACCCATCCTGAAGGGGGTGTGACCAGCTGAAAACAGCCATCAGCACCTCACCCATGCTGGCCAGGCACCCGAGTGGGAACCCCCACCATGAAGGGGGTGTGATCAGCCTGCAAACCCCCATCAGCCTCTCACCAGGCTGGCCAGGCACCCCAGCGGGATCCCCACCCTGATCCAGGACACCCTCCAGGGCCAACGAGCCAGCCCCCACCCATGCACTAGGCCTCTATCCTATATAATAAAAGTGTAATATGCAAACTGACCCTAACAGCAGAACGACTGGGAATGACTGGTCAATTTGACACACACTGGCCACCAGGAGGCAGACGCTCAATGTAGGAGCTGCCCCCTGGTGGTCAGTGCACTCCCACAGGGGGAGCTCTGCACAGCCACAAGTCAGGCTGATGGCTGCCAGTACAGCGGTGGTGGTGGGAGCCTCTCCCACCTCCTCAGCAGCGCTAAGGATGTCTGACTGCAGCTTAGGCCTGCTCTCCGCTGGCAAGTGGACATCCCCCGAGGGCTCCTGGGCTGCCAGAGGATGTCTGACTGCCAGGTTGGGCCCAATCCCCTAGGGAGCGGGCCTAAGCCTGCAGGTGGACATCCTCTGAGGGGTCCCAGTCTCCAAGAGGGCATAGGCCAGGCTGAGGAACCACCTCAAGTGCACAAATTTTTGTGCACCGGGCCTCTAGTTTAATCATAAATGAGAACATTTATGTGATATCACATGATCATTGATTTTACTATTTAGTGTCTGTGGGAGTTTCTTGAGTCCAATTCCATCTGGATCTCATTTTTTTGTTGTTGCTGTTGTTGAACTTGTTTCAAGTAAGAGATTTTGTTTATTCCTTATAGTTATTCTTTAATTGGTATTTATATCTCTTCTTATTTTTAAAAATATTTTTGTTGATTTCCGAGAGGAATTGGGAGGGAGAGAGAGAGATTGAAATATCAACGATGAGAGAGTCATTGATGGCCTGTTTCCTCCATGTCCCCTACTAGGGATGAAGAATGTCACCCAGGCATGTACCCTGACCGGGAGTCGAACCCTGACCTCTTGGTTCATAGATTGATGCTCAACCCCTCAGCCA